AATAAGAATAAAGATTCTGAACAGGAATGAATCCTGAGATAACCTCATTAATGGCCACATACACCTGAACCAAATTGAACTGATATCACCACCGGGGGAATTTTTCAAACTTTTCATTCAAACATTCTCAAACAAACAAAAATATTAACTGATCATACACAATAACACATAATTGAAAGATTGTCTATATTTATAGATCTAATATCCTAGAAAAGTTTAATACGTCAGTTTCCCGTTAATTTGACAGAGTTACAAGATCACACAAGATTCCAAAACACATAGAGAATCTCGTAAACCAACCACCGATATCAACAAGGAACAAAAACCATAAGGCCACGAGAAAACCCTAATTCTAAAATCTTGGCATATATTATCAAATCTATCTAATATGCATATCTGCATGTATAAATTCCAATAAGACCTAATGTACTGACAGCATCAAGTTATATGGAGTTTGTAAAATCACATAACAAACTACCAAACAAAGGAGCAGGTAATTGCAAGCTACAACAAAAATCACAAAAATCAGGAAACGGGGAAGACATAAACCCTGAGATAGTCTCATTAATGGCCACATACAACTAATTGAATCAAATTCATCTGATATTACCACCGGGGGCATTTTTCAAACTTTTTCATTCAATCATTCTCAAACAAACAAAAATATTCGCTGATCATACACTATAACACACAACTGGAAGATTATCTGAAGATAAACAATCTAATATCCCTAGAAAAGTTGAATACACCAGTTTCCCATCGAAAAACCCTAATTCGACAAAGTTCTGAAATTACATGCGATTGCAGAACAACAAATAACACATCTAGTTAATCAACCAGCGATATCAACAAGAAACAAAAACCACACGGCCACGAGAAAACCCTAATTCTAAAATCTCAAAAAAAAAAAAATGAAACCGAACAAGTAATCGGAGAAACCAATTCGACAAATAACGATTTCAGTAAATAATTTGAGAGAGTTAATCGCAAAGGACGGTCGGAAGGCGTACCTCTTACTTCAAGGAAGCTCTCTCTCTCTCTCTCTCTCTCTCTCTCTTCGTTCTCTCTCGTCTGATGACCGACTGTAAAATTTGGACTCGTTGAAGGCTCTTGCGTATATATAAGGTAGCTGAAAAGATCGTCGGTTCAAATTATCGGACGGCCTATCACTGTTTTTCGTTTTACGGAATCTGACGGTCTTGAATGGGGTACGATGTGTTTCTTTTTGTCGAACGTACGGTCAGGATAGAAAGATGAAGGCGTGACGCGGATCGAGGCGGCTCATTGGTTGAATGCCATTGGTTGATTTTTGTTAATCGCTTCTTTGGAAATTTTTAAGAGGGCTATTATGGTAATAGAATAAGGTGGCAACTACTAATAAGTATAACAAGTGGAGAATATAACAATTTAATTTTTTACACATTTTCAAAATACAAAATGTCCACCAATTTATATATTTCCAACTATTTTCCTTCCATATTCACCAATTTATATTTTTCCAACTATCTGTCTATTAATATATTGTTCATATATATTAAATCATATAATTTTATCTTATATTTATTCACTATTTTTACGAAAAATACAAGACCATTTTTTTAAAATAATTATCTCTATTTGACACCTCAAAAAACTATGGTGTAAATTTGCAACTTGGGCTGAGCATAGGAGTCGGAGAATTTCGAACACTTCCTAAAACCGAACTGAAATTGCTCTGAATCGAAAAATAGCTGTTGACCGTTTGACTTTTTTCGAATTGAATCGAGCCGAGAAAAGAATTGGTATAATATGGATATTTCACAAATATTTGTACCGAGAACCGAACCGTCTCATACCATACCGCACCGAAGAGCCGAAATTAAGAATCGAGTTATAATATTAGATGTATGTTATTAATATTTTTTATGTCAACTTTGATTCTATATAACTTGATAATTTTTAAAATGCAAATAAAATATAGTAATAACAATTAAGCTTCATTTAGATTTCATGTTTAGTAATCTTGATCTACAGTTGAATTTCATATTTTTAAAAAAAAAATTATTTAAAATGGTATGAAAGGTTAAAGAAAAATATTTAAACTTTACTTAAATTTGTCGATACTTTTCTTAGTCTTATTCTATCTTATAATTAAAATGGTATGAAAGATTAAAGAAATATTTTTTTAAGCAAAAACTATATTATATTTTGTTTGAATTTTAAATTTTCAATGTTAGTTGCACAAACTTAGTCTTAATTAAAATTTAGAGTGACCTCTAAAGTTGATATCATAATAAAAACTTTAATATGATGAAGTACTGATAAATGTTGATTTTTCTTTAAAAAAACATATAAAAATTAAAATATAACTAGTTAATCATTAAAAAAAATTACAAATAATTTGAAATTTCCAGAGGTCCGAACCAAACCGAACCGTTCCAATAATCCCGAATACCGAATCAAAAAAAAAAAAGTCCGAATCGACCGTCTCGATTTTTTGTACCGTTCCGAAGCTCAAATTTTAGTGATCTACGGTTTCGGAATTTCTCAATCTTCGAACTGTACTGACTCATGCTCACTCCTATTTGCAACCATATTAATTACCCGCGTATATGTTGCACAACATAGTATTTGAAACGTCTTGATTAATTATAGAATATTTGAATAAAATAATTTTATGACCAATATATGCATACATAAAAATATATAAAAAAACATGAAAAAAAAAATATAACTGCACATTTAGTTACACTCCCCTAAAAATGAAAACAGAATTGGTAGAATAATGTGATTCATCATCGGTATTTTTATCCAATAACAATCTTTTATTTTTTCCAAATGATTGCAGAATGTATAAATCATTAGTCAATTGACAAGAAAACTATATGGCTATAACCAATACACCACAACCAGACAAAGGAAGCTTCTCCCTCCTTTGTAAAAAGAGATAACTTACTTTAAATTGCTTTATAGATACTAGGTAAAAGTTTGAACAAATAGGAGCGAAATAAGGTTGAAAAAAGAGATACATTTGACAGTAACTTTAGTTGCACCAAAGAACTTCCTTCTAAGCCTTAGCTTTTTCGCTATAGCCTTGTTATCTACTAAAATAATAATCTTCTCTCAATCAGTATGTCTTGTATTCACCAATGCTAGTCCCACAACAAACAATGTTTTTTTCAACTGGACCTAGACTAACATCCCTAAGAGCACCCACAATGCTTTGGGTCTCTTAACAAAAAATCACATGCCACATGGGAACTAGACTTAGTCTATAAAAAAAATACTTCCCAATGCAATTAAAAGTGGACATGGTCTAGCTTATGTGGCAATGAAAAAAAGAGACCAAGTCCACACTTGGGTCTATTTTGGACTCAAGTACAAACCCAAACACTCATCATTTGTTCTTAATTTATTTATTTATTTTAATGAATAAAACATATTAGAGCATTTCTATTGGTTGTCATGTATGCTAGACCTAGTCTTTTTATTTTTGCATTGCAAAGTTTTTGAGTTTTTTTACTTGAGTTTGTCCATGTCATTTAAAACTCAAGTCCAATTATATGCCACATATACAAAAAGAGACCCAAAGCATTGTGGATGCTCTAAAAGAATACCATACTCTGAGTTTTACATTGTTTAACTTGAAAGTCATCAGAGGTAGAAAAGTGCCACACTAGTCTATCTTTCTGTCCATATATGCTAATAGGGATAATGAGAATTATTGCAGCCTCTTCATTTATTGAAATTATCTCTCACCGGTTTAGCATTCCAACGGCACCTTGATTCATCCAACATATCCTTAACCAAAGTCAGACCTTCAACTTGATCTCTACATTTTGTTGGTCTGAATTATGATCCCTAGAGAGTCGAGAAAAATCCCAGATTTTAACACTGTCCATTTCCAATTTGTCATCTCACCACCATTTTTAAAGTGCCTCTTGCCCCCAGCCACCATTTCCAAAGCCATGAATATGTTATTTTACTCCACAATTCAAACAAAATTTATTTTCTGAAGTACTTCATTTTCATGACTCTGTTCATAAGAAGGTTAAGGCAAGTAATAGTCTCCACAATTGATCAACTAGGAAAGCTTTGTTAAGAAATTCAAAATCTTTAAACATAACCCATTCCAGTCTTTAGGGGAAGCCAATTTTTTCCAATTCAGCTAATGAATTTGGTTAGGCCCTTCTAATTCCCACGCCAAAATTTAGAAGCCACTTTACTGATTTCTTTTACCACTACCACATGAATTTTGATACAAGACATCATATAGATAGGTAAAACACGAATTATTGACTTCATTAAGACTTATTTTCCTTCAACACCTATAAAATTGTTTTTCCAGCTTATTACTCTTTTACTCAGTACCTCAGAAAATTTAAAATATCTCTTTTTGCTATATGAATTATGAAGGGGCAAAGTAACATGTATAATAGAAAGTCTAGACATATCATCGTAGACATAATATTGTTCGCCAATTAAACACAAATGGTATTATTTTCATTGATTATGTAAAGCCTAAGAAAATTTTGGCTGATCCTTTTACTAAAGAAATGAATAGAGATTAATTGAGAATATTGCTAGAGAGAATATGCTTAAGAATCCACAATGAACAGAATAATCATAGTGTTAACCCTACCTTGTTGAATGAAGATCCCACGAACTTGATTCAAGGGGAAGACTAAATTATGAAAATTCAACCGAGCACTTAGAACATAAGAATGTCCAAAAATATTATTCCCTAAAACATTCCAAGTGCGATATTACCTGTTGATTGTGGTGAGGGTAAGTCCTCTGGACTTTTAATGTATATCTTTTTA